TCAAATCGATGCCTCCAATGAACACTACTCTAACTCAAAATTTTGACATTTTCGTTTTTTACGCAAATCGCTTCACCATGTTAAAAGTATTACAATTAATCATTATTGATGGGGTTCGAAGCAAGAATAAATCAGCTAGTTACACAAAAAAACCATAAATATATCTGCAATAATAAAGATTTTATAAACTTTTTTCGTTTAAACGCTCCTCCTGTAAATCTACGAATTTGGAGTTAGCGTAGTGTTCATTGGAGGCATCGAAATATTAATAATACGCAAATTATGTATGTAATTTTGTATTGCTTCTAAAATTCAATTCGTTCATCGACAGCGCACATTTTAAATATTAATGTTAATCGGTTCTCGTTTATTTATTGTTGTTAAGTTCCAACGATATTTTACACAGTCGTTTCGTTGTCTAGCCTGTATTGTTTCTGTCTGAATGTTTTCGATGCAAATGCTTTTGTGCAACGATATCTAGATGCGCGCACGGAATCCAACCGTTTCGTTATTTGTTATTATTTTAGTATAAGTTGAATGCAATGTTGCTTTTAATTCGTTTCTGTTTTATTTTGGAATTATTAACTTTATTATAGATATTATGAGTATTAGTGAAAAAAACAAAACCCGATTTATTGAACTAAAAACAAGTTCTTTTAATTATTTATTTTTTATTGCTTAGATGGATGGACGAGCTCACAGCCCACGTGGTGTTAAGTGGTTACTGGAGCCCATAGACATCTACAACGTAAATGCGCCACCCATCTCGAGATATAAGTTCTAAGGTCTCAGTATAGTTCCAACGGCTACCCCACCCTTCGAACCGAAACGCATTACTACTTCACGGCGGAAATAGGCGGGGTGGTGGTACCTACCCGTGCGGACTCCCAAGAGGTCCTACCACCAGTGAGAACAAAACAACAAAATAACAATACGTTGCTATATCATAGCTAGTAGAAAGGGATAATGAAAGGGGTATGAAATAGACTTGCCTTTCGATTTGAAGAGTGGAATAGAGGTCATTCCAAACTACTGAGACTGATACTTCATTTTTCAGCGGTAGCGGCATTCACACATCAAACCATCACAGCTACTTACCACATACCTTCAGAGACTTTTAGGAAGCCGATGAGGTTAGGGCCTTCTTGAAGGAGCCGCAATGGTGTTCACACTGCGTTCTCATCAACTTGCACACAAGCCGCGCCATGACCATGTCTTCCTCTCAGATAGGATTAATGTGATATTACATACATATACATACATACATACATACATGTACATATGTACCTTTTAATAATATCACTGACAGTTGTACCTTCGCTTATGTGTTTATTTTCCGTTTCATGTGTTTCTTTTGTGTAGGTATAGTGAAGTTCACTACGTACTGTAGCTATAACCATACTATACCAGACAGCTTCTAAGCAAGCAGACTTGTTGAATCAATTTTAATCCAAGAGTGAAAATGCTGTTTCAATTCTGTACGTTTTAAAATTCATAACCTCATTCCGAACGACCAGACTCTGATTGCTATCGCATCGTATAAAATCTTAAACAGTTACCAATTCTGCTTTCGCTTGAATGGCTTAGTTTCAATTTCTATTTATATTATACTAGCGACCCGCCCTTGCTTCGCTTCGGAAACATTAAAACACACATGAAACCAAAAAAATAAAAATAAAAAATAAATAAAAAAAAATAAAAAAAAAGTAGCCTATGTTCATCAGGGACAATGTCGGCATCTAATGGAAAAAGAATTTTTCAAATCGGTCCAGTAGTTTCGGAGCCTATTCGAAACAAACAAACAAACAAATCTTTCCTCTTTATAATATTAAGTATAGATTATACTAATGAGATCCGTTCACTATGACAATAATATAGTACTACTCGAAAATGTTGTAAATTATTCAAGAAATAATAAAGAGGATTGTTGTCTTGTTGTCCTTAAAAAAATATGGTTTAAAGGTATTTTTTCCAATTTATTCGTACAGTGCATGCACCTATTTATTCCATGATTCAAATCTTAACAGGAATTAGTCCACCCAGGTAGATGCAAGCATCGTGGCTATAACTGGCGCGCAGCAATTTTGCATTCCAGTTGCAAAAAGATTAAAAAAAACACGTAAAATTGAGAATTGGATATGTTTTTTTTTTTTTTTAAATATTAGATGTTTGGACGAGCTCACAGCCCACCTGGTCTTAAGTGGTTACTGGAGCCCATAGACATCTACAACGTAAATGCGCCACACACCCTGAGATTATAGTTCTAAGGTCTCAGTATTGTCACAACGGCTGCCCCACCCTTCAAACCGAAACGCATTACTGCTTCACGGCAGAAATAGGCGGGGCGGGCGGTGGTACCTATCCGTGCGGACTCACAAGAGGTCCCCATTCCGATAGAGTCACCCGTCACGTGCGGACGTGCTCATCGACCACTCGATCGTCCGGCCTTTGTTCGCTCGGCTTTTATTAGTCCGGCCATTGTTCGCGCGCCCTGTGTTCGTGGTACATCTGCCGACCAAGTGTTTTTCCTGGAAGTTTTTATTTGTTTTGTTTCCTTTTGTTATTTCTGTGTTCGTGGTACATCTGCCGACAAAGTGTTCCTGGAAGTGTTTATTTGTTTTGATTCTTTTTGTTATTTCTATTTTGTTGTGTTCTTCTTTAGTAATAGCGCCGCATCGCCACCTGCGTTCAATAGAACCGCTCAGGTCCGAGAAGTTGGGGCCTCGCCGCAAGGCGAGTATTTTTAAGACCCGGGGCCGCCCCACCTGGGCACTCAGCGATCATGGACGCTGTATTTGCGGAGTTCCTCCGACTTCGCTACCCACAGCTCGCCTCAGAGTTTCTGATTTNACCAACACAATAATGTTTTTTGACTGCTTGCCTAATTTTGACCCCAAAATAATTTGCATTTATAAATCTGTATTTAACGTTAACAAAAAAATTATGTTAATTAGAATGTGTTAGAATCATGAATTAGTCGTGCAGCCGCGGTTCATGTTTACATTACAAAGTCGGTATGCGAAGACACGTATTGCAAGGCTTTCATTTTTTTATCGTTCGTGACGAAGTCGATATATATGTACAATGTGTGATCGTATCTAAAAAGCGCCTAAATTAAATGCAAACAATACGTAGTTTAATAGTTATTATTATCCGTTCCCTCTAACATTGTTTAAATAAGGTTGACTAGAGCTTCTTAAAATAAACGTGTGCTTTTTGAATTTAAAATATTATTTTTTAATGAGTGAAACCAGACCAAGCTTCGCTGTGACTATTCTAAGCCAAAGACTAGACTAGACTAGACTACACTATAAAAACTAAACTATCCGCGCTTGATTATACTTTAATCACATTGTATTATAATTGTTAAGCCTTATACTAATGTATAGCGAAGTGAAATTTCATCAAAATGTATTGGGTTTTTTATAAAAAAGTAAGTGACATCTCTCTATTCTCACAAATATTCGCATTACTATTAGTAGGATTATTTACACAATGGATAGTCCCCAGGTACACAGGTGCAATCCGCAAATTGGACAGATATAAGCATATTTTTTTTATAGTAATAGTCAACATTTGGCGTCTAGTAAAATTTAAATTCGAATCAAATCAAAAGTCACTTTACTGTCATAAGATTTCGTATCATTTTAGGTCAAGCAATTGCCTTCGCTGCTGCAAGCAACCTACATTAACGTGGATAGCTCACATTTATATTTCTCGATTCTAGGCACTTGCCTATCTACTTAGATACTTTTGTATCATTGGACGTTAATCACGTTAAACACCATAACTGTTGACTAACATTAAAAAATACTTAATTTTATCGATATTAACTTTTAGTATCAAAGTCAGTTACTTTCACTTGCACTCTTTCTTCTCTTCTTCCATAGCTTTCAACACACGTTATTTGCGCACTGATGGAACGGCTCTTTATTTTTGTTGAGTCCTAGTCTTCGTCTGTGACTATTCAATTATAACCATGTTCGTTCCTGATTTTTAACGCTCTTGATTTTTAACGTTTAATCAAATTTTATTACACGAGACATATTATAATATTATCAATAAATGAGATTAGCAGGAAAAATGTCTTGTCTTTCTGACTTTAACCTTATTTATTATACAAATGAAGGATGCTATGCCTAAAACCTTCTAAAAAAATTTAAACACATTTATAATAAGACATTTTTTTAAGACAACTGCCGACGGCTATTTTTGTTCAAATGAGAATAATGAAAAATGTGAAATTTTCAACAACAAGGACAGTAATCCAGAATGATGGATAAAACCGATTTTGTTCACAATTTCATAACTTTAATAACATTATTTTTTGTTTTGAAGAGACCTAATTTTTTTTCTAAGACAAACTTAGCCTAAGCTACTTTTTCTACCACAAGCTTTCGATCAATGAAACTTGGGTCAAAATCGTTTTGGCGATTATCGGGAATAAACTGACACACAGACAAAATAAAAGAGCCGTACATATTTTCATAAGCATCTAATAGTTATTATATTGATATTAGAAAAATACATCAATTTTATTTGTTTGCTAACATATAGAGCTGCGTTACAAGTGCAAAAACAAGTAAGACAAACACCAAACGTTTATCTACAACGAAAACGACTCGATAGCAATAATAATAGCCCCTGGAATAATTTATTTATTTCGTACTATCCGGCAGACTTTTTAGCGCCTCAATCGGTAAATAAAAGACCTAAGCTTTTGTATAAAATAAACATAAAACAAACAAAAGGAAATCGTCCGACGGAGGACACATCAAAAGAAAAAAATTGCCATTTTTATTTAATTCCGAGCCTTTTCATATTTAGCTACCTTTTAAACCTTCTCTGGACTTCGACAAATAATTCAAGACCAAAATTAGTCGAATCGGTTCAGCCGTTCTCGAGTTTAGCGAGACTAACGAACAGCAATTCATTTTTATATATATAGATTAATAGATTAATAATATACTAAAAATACTACATAGCAAACTATTATGGAACTAATCAAGATAAACCCCGAACGTGGTAACTTGTATGAACGCAGTACTCTCTTCTCTCTGAGCATCGAAGTAATTATCCCTTTCGTGGTCCCACAGGAACGACACTGCGTTATTGTAGCTTTGAGCTCGCTTTTGTCCAATAGTGACGACAGTACATATTCTGTATCGATTAAATTGCAAAGCTTTGACTTTACGCATTACTTCACCTGCTATTTTCAATGCGACCGCTGGTGATTCCTAGGACAAGAAAAAAATATTCCGCACACTTTCAAAGACATTTCAAAATTATTTGAAAACTATCTTATAATAAAACTAAACGCAGTGATATTATAATAAAAATCTAATTTATACGTTTTGTTGAATGCTAAACGTGGCTTAAAATAAAAATAAAAATTTCTTATACCAACATATCTTTATTTTTCTCACCTTGATTAAATAGGTAGCCGTTAAAAATAGCCTATTCAAAAAAGGACATAAATACCACTAGATTTTTTGTTTTCTTTTATATCGCTTTAGCCCAGCTCTTGCGAGCTCACAGACCGTCTGGTGTTAATTAATGGGTGTTAATTATTAATTACCTTGAGGTCCAACGTAAGACTTAGTTATATACAAAGTTTGTTCCCCACATCAAACCCTACGTGGTTTGCTACGTGGCAGCACGGTCGTGCGGTTTTTCTTACAAAAAGGCTGCTACCACTAACTAGACATTTGCATACATTGCATGAGTTCGATTTTGAAAGAGCATGGAAATCATTCGTGAACACGTCATGTAGCGTATGTATTTGGTTAAAAATGATTACCCGAAGATAGGATCTGTCCACGGACGTATACGAATCGCCTTACACAAGGGCACCGGGACATCTTATATTTTAGGCCACGTCTTTAAACTTATTTGCACCGAATTCCATTAATCAGAGAGCTCACGTTACTATTTTGTCGTGCAAATATACCTGCATATTGTAGCGATGACCAGTGAAGTTTTCATTTAATGTTTCTTCTGTAATTTTTCTAACTTTTGGAACATTAAATATACCATCCGGGTGCGGATCTAATTGGTACGTGTTCAGGAATAGTAACGGTGGACGCTTAAACTCTATGGCCAGCTGTAACAAGCCGGTAAATGATTTATCAAATTATATTACTGATTAGCGATAAAACTTACAATATCACATTCATTAAAATGTTTATTTATTTATGTATTTAGGAAACCAACAGTACAATACAAACATATAATATTAAAAAAATTTAGTTAAAACAATAACCAAACATGTTTCCACCATCAGAATTACTTAAAAGTAGAAAGTGAACAAAAGAAGAAAAAAAAGACAAAGTAAAAATGCAGTTTACCCAAAAAAACAAAAGCAACACAATACGCACATAATTATTATGTACATCAACTTCACTACGTAGTATAAAACAAAGTCGCTTTCTCTGTCCCTATATCCCTATGTATGCTTAAATCTTTAAAACTACGCAACGGATTTTGATGCGGTTTTTTTTAATAGATAGAGTGGTTGAAGAGGAAGATTTATATGTATAGTAAATAGTGGAGAAATCAATAATAAATTAAGTTTCCGAAGCGAAGCGAGGGCGGGTCGCTAGTACACTATAAAACTAAATAATACTCATTGGACTAAATCACCTTATAAATATTCCAAAATAGCATTTCTATATGCTACAAGCGACAAACAAAAGATGTTGTTAGCATTAGAGAACTTAGTATCATACAACCTACAAGATCTACGGACAAAAGAGTTAGAAGCATATTTCGTTCGAGCCGTGGACATGTATGTGGAAGGTATGTTTAGAACGCGCAAAAATACGACTACATTTAAATAAAATCTTGGAAAGAAGATAGCTTTTCTTATTTTATTGCTTAGATGGGTGGACGAGCTCACAGCCCACCTAGTGTTAAGTAGTTACTAGAGCCCATAGACATCTATGACGTAAATGCGCCACCCACCTTGAGATATCAGTTCCAAGGTCTCAGTAAAGTTGCAACGGCTGCCCCGCCCTTTAAACCGAAACGCATTACTGCTTCACGGCAGAAATAGGCAGGGCGGTGCCACCTACCCGCGCGGACTCACAAGGGTCCTACCACCATTAGTTATTTTCCGTAAGGCCACTACCACTACTGAATTGAATAAAATCTAACAAACGCCTGAATTTAGAATTAAGTACGTAATATTTACAACTTCGCAACAACAAGATTCTTAGTGTAGTAAATTTTTATAAGCCGACTTAAATCTCAGTATAATAATTACAATGTGAATTTAAAACTGAAAATGAAGTTACTAGCTTCATGAGATAGCCCCCCTTTTATTTGGTTACCAGAGTCCATAGAAATGTAAACGTCACCACCTCAAAGCATGAAGTTGAAGTTATAATTAATTGTATTGCATAATGACTGTCTTACCTTTCAAACCTAAACCACGTCATCCTAAATGTTGGTACCTGCTCGTGATCGTACTTACAATGCGCCCTACCACAAGTAAAAAATACCTAACAATTATCACCTGAGAAGTTCTTTCCACAGGTCTGATTCCGGGCACACTGGCGAAACCAAAAGATCCCTTCCTCATTTTCATTCTACTCATTGATTTAGAACCGAATGCTGCATGCGATCGTGTATGCGACTGACTCTTCATAGCCATCATCGATACTTTACTTTTCTTAAGCTCCGGGTCGGCCATTTCAAATTTCTGTCTTTTTGCCCAAACCAATAAGGCTAAATTTTGCTTACTGCGACACGGAAAATCACAGGGCACTTGTAATAAGATGGATACACAAAAACTTGTATAAAAAGTAATATTTTCAGATGAAATGGTTACGCCGATTATATTCCCATAAGCTTTTCAATTCTAAAGGTGTCAATGTAGTTTTAAAAAGACGACAAAAAACATCAAGAAGAATTTTTGACAAAGAGAATTTAACCATTGCTTTTATAATCTCTAATTCATTAGATTTAAAATTCTGTGAACGAGACATTTTTGAAATCTCTAATTGTAATCTCATATTTGCAATCTCTAATTTTTTTTTGCTAGTAAAACGAACTAATAAATACATTAACTGTTGTTACGAAGAAATAGAACCTAACTAATAATTGAGTTTATTGAAAGATTGCTCTATACTTTAATAAAAAGTATAAATAAATTTATAATGAAAATAAATAATAGAAAACTAATAATTTTATTGTATAGTTGACAAATTAATAGAATTTGCAACAATATTTTATTTTAGTACTAGTTTGTAACCATTGTTTGTAAGGACCAAAAATGTATTAATTACGTTTCAATGTGTTTAAAAATGACGTTATTTTAATAATTTAAATAAAAGTAATCGCATCTGGATGTACAGCTGTAGTATTTGCGAACTTCCGTACCATATGAAAACTATTCAACTTAAAAATGAAACATATCATTTAAGTATATCACATATGTATCACTTCGTATATTATTTATTTTTACGCTGCCTTTATTTCAATTTCGTATTAAAACCTTCAGAAACAGCGATGGTATTTTCATATTATTTAAACGGCAAAGTACAACAGAGCAGCAAATTTCTCAAAACATTTCCACATAATTAAGGGCCTTCGCGGAACAGTAACCACAGCGTGTTTGCAAACCCACATAAACTTACTCTTGTGTTAAATGTATATATATGTAGTGTACTCAACAAATTTACCTCCTTTAATTACCAACCAAAACCTTCGCAGGTTTTCGTTTAACATTAAATAATTAATTAAAGTTAGGTCTACTGTCTCGCTCCGTTGTATTTAGACTTTTGGTACATTGTTACAAACCTATTATTTCTAAAGGCATCGTGCCAAATTATTTGAAATTTAATATAACACTGTGCGTGTATTTAAAACTACTTTATACGGTTTAATCTCGACTTTATTATTATCATTTTATTTATACTAATGTGTCAAATATTTTATAGTTTTTGTGGACACGCGCAATCAAACGTTAGGTGTTGTATTAATTACGTCTATTTGAAAATCAAAGAAAATACGAAATTTAACGTATTAAATATCAGTCATCAGTGGCGGTGGCCAAGAGCTGCGTCAGTTGAATTAATATAATAAAACTAGCGACCCGCCATCGCTTCGCTTCGGAAACTGTAATTTATTATTGATTTCTACACTATTTAATGGATGTTATTATACATATAAATCTTCCTCTTAAATCACTCTATCTATTAAAAAAAAACGCATCAAAATCCGTTGCGTAGTTTTAAAGATTTAAGCATACATAGGGATATAGTGACAGAGAAAGCGACTTTATTTTATACTTTGTAGTGTGATAGTGATATCTTTAGTAATCACACTGATTACTTTAATTTATTAATTAAAGTAAACGCTTTGGTATAATATGTTTACGGCGCGAATAATATAAATAAGTATGAAACGTACATACGTCTAACGTGTCATAAAAATATCGCTCTCAGAAGATGTTGATCGTGATACATCTCGCTGAATAGCTACGTAAAAACATGACCGAGCGAACAGGAAGATTTGCATACAAATCCTCAATTTAACATCCATACGTTTCTCTAAGCTTCGAAACTCATTTTTATAAACGAGCGCACAATTTTCTCTTGTTAAGTTGAATCCATCAAAACAATGTGTCGTTCTAAGGGCAACGACCTCGATAGCGCATATAAAACATTGAATTTCTAGTTGCATTCACTTACATAGATGCAGGCGATGCTACGTCAAAGAAACCCGCTTTCTTAGGTCAGTTAAACGAATGTTCACCCCCGGTATAGGGTGGGGCAGATTTGACCGATAGCGATTCTCAAGGTCTCGTCGCTAGGATGCTTTTTACAATAAATTAATAAACATAAGGGCGGAATCTTTTTTCTTTGTTTCTGTGAAAATTCAATCGAATACTCGCACATTAAAGATTTTATTATAAGCGATACATTCTTTAAATCAACAAATCTACTACTACCAAAACTTTAATAATTATTTATATATTACATTGTGTATTCATTGTATGTATATTTACGGATATATGTATGTATGTTTATGTGTATGTAAGTGTGTATGTATGTAGGTATATGTATTATGTATTAATATATATATTTCACTTTATTGGTACAACATCGCGGGTAATTCGTTTCCAAATAATTCTTGTCCACCTGATGGTTGCCTGGAAGAGAACGCTCTTAGCGATAAGACCGCCAATTGTACTTTTTTGTATTTAATGTATCGCATTGTTTGTTTTTTGGTGTACAATAAAGAATACTCTCTCTCACTCCCTCTCCCTCTACATACTTATTCATTTTACTTGTCGTGATCTGATTGGTATCCCATTAATTGGCGGTTTTTTGTCTTAATAAACAGATGAGCGTACAGCATAGTGGTTAGTAATCACCGATGCTCATGAACATCAGCAAAGCTAGGGGTACATTTGAGTGCTCAGTGTCGGATTCAGTGCCCGCCACCGGATTAATTTTTGATAATATCATTTGGAAGCGTCATCTGTGTGTTTGGTATTTATCTAACACGACCCCATCTGCTCCCACAGATCTAATAAATGATGATTAATAGATTCACCGGAGAAAGTATACTAGCGTTTCCTGATATTATACTAACGTACAGCGATCGTCATCTAGAACATACTGATGGTAATGTGTACTCTAAGCCTACGAAAATAAGCACTACACACAATCCTGCATATTTCTGCCGTGAAGCAGTCATGTGGTTTGGCTTGAAATGTAAAATAGCCGTTGAGTCGAGAACATAATTGTCGTTTGGTCTATGGACTCCAGTAATCACTTCATATCAGTTTTTTTTATTTTTTTATTGCCTAGATGTGTGGACGAGCTCACAGCCCACCTGGTGTTAAGTGGTTACTGGAGCCCATAGACATCTACAACGTAAATGCACCACACACCTTGAGATATAAGTTCTAAGGTCTCAGTATAGTTACAACGGCTGCCCCACCCTTCAAACCGAAACGCATTACTGCTTCACGGCAGAAATAGGCAGGGTGGTGGTACCTACCCGTGCGGACTCACAAGAGGTCCTACCACCAGTAAAAACCGTGAGCTTCTTCACCCATCTACGCAATAAAATTAAACAAAAAGCAATGCTTACATACACAGTGCTTCAAGTAAATAAATAATTAATACCAAATTTATCATGGTCGTCTGACCCCGGCTTAAGATATCCTCTACTAAGGAACCAGAGACTTATATACATATCTATATACGTATATGTACCGATAGCAAACATCGGGGCAAAGAGTTATTTTTTTGTAAGAAGTGATCGTTTTACGGCTGATCCGGTCTTAAGCGGTTGCCGCAGCCATTACATAAACGCGAATGTCGTCACCAATCTTGGGGTATGAGACTTAAGACTCAGTACATAGTACAAGGGCTGCCCCGCTCTTTAAATATGAACGAATTATTACTTCGCGGCAAATAGAGGTCAAGTGATGGCCACTGCGTTCATCTACAGCGCGTTTCCAGAGATCTTTTTCGCCACGTACCATCTGGCTTTGGAATGAGGTCCCCTCCACGGTGTTTCCCGACCGCTATGACATATTCTTCTTCAAACGAGGCTTGTTGCGAGTACTTAATGGTAGGCAGCGGCTTGGCGCTGCCCCTGGCATTGCTGAAGTCCATGGGCGACGGTAACCACTCACCATCAGGTGGGCCGTATGCTCGTCTGCCTACAAGGGTAATAAAAAAAAACCAAATGAGCTCACAAGACGGCATGCCATCTTTCGTGAAAAGCGACAACCGTTGACCCACCGCCGAACAAGTCGAATTACTAACACTAGTGGTCCCGCAGTAGTCGAGATTCGACTATAATTAATTGAAATTATAAGTTTGAACATTATTCTGGTTCTACTGTCAAAGACTATTACATTTCTATAGTGACAGATTTCGCCATGAAAGATAAACAATATTAACTTATTCTCAATTTGACTACAGACTATAAGCAATAACAAAAGTTTGACAATAAACAAAGAGTATGTATGTGTGTGTGTCAAATACATGGTAGTGTGTGTAATGTTTTCTTTATTGATTTAATGTATTTTTATGCATAATTAAAAAAAAATTAACATTCTGCACACCTTCTCTATATTCCCTATAAGTGTGGGAAATTTCATACCCCTCCGTCCGCGCAATTTTTAAAAAAAGGGGTACAAAGTTTTTGCTTCACATATTAATATATAGATAACAATTAAAGCATTCGCTCGTCAAATAAAATACATTACGTAAAAAGTATTGCGTCGTTTTCGTGACGTCAGTAGGTGATTTATCGAAACGGGGATTGGAAATTCTCTTGTTCCCCTTTGACCTTTTAGAGATACTCTGCATTGACCGGCAAAGTAGAGTTTGTAAGCCTGTATAACTTACCCATCCACGTGTAAAAGTTTTATTTCGGACATGGAGTATCACTTAAGTTTCCGTAGCTACTCTGTACGAATTCATTTTATGTTCACTATTCACTCTGTGAGTCTGTGAGTATGATTTGAGTGAGAATGTGATATGCAATCATGAAATTATATATGCCTTGTTGAACAGTGCATCTTTATGTTTAGTGATCATTTCTCAATCCATCACATAGAGAGTTGATAAGAAGTTAATATGAGAATGACTATAAAAATAGCGAGGAATAATGGTTAAAAAGAATCATGCTGGGTGCTTCAATATTATAAAAACATTTTTAAGT